CACCGAGACTCTGTGTGTGTGTGTCACTGTTGTTTACTCTCTGCAGCCTCTGGGTGCAGAAAGCAGGCTGCACGGGGCCCACGGAGCCGGAGTCTGGCCCAGAGGAATGAGTGCATCCAGTCTGGTTGAGTCAGCAAGAGAGATGGGGGAGCACTCCCCCTTACTGGGAGCAGGGACACCAGGTGGGCAAGGAGGCTGGTGACGGGGGCGGCTCGGTCCGGCTGAGCCACCCAGGCCGTCAGCCAGCGCGGCGTTGTCACCGGGCATCCTCGTCACCGGCTGGTCGACCCGGCCAGCTCATCGTCAGGCGCAGAGTCCAGGCCCTGGCAGTTTTCACGTAATCCGTTAGAAATGGCTGCTTGAAACTCACACTGGTTTAAACAATGAGAATGTTTTGTTCCGTGTAACTGAGACGCAGCGCTGGCTTCAAGGGAGGCCTAATCCAATTACTCAAGTGATGTGACCAAAGGCCAGGGGCTCATGTCCATTCTGAGGCTGTTTCCTTATCGTTGGTTCCGTTCTCAGTGAGTTCTCTACCTCGTGGTTGTGGGACCACCGCGAGCAGCTCCTGGCCTGCGTTTCCAGGCCCAGACCACCGAAGAGGAAGCCCCTGTCCCAGCAGCTGCTGCATCACGGCCCGCCCTCCATCCTGGCCGCACCTTGAACAGTGGGCAGGGCCAGGCTGCCCGAACGGGGTGAAGGAAGCCAGCCCCTCCCAGGTCCTGAGGCCCGAAGACAGGGCCGAACATGGGAGAAACATCCAGCTGCTTCCACTGCTGGGCCTCAGCCCCCAAGGCCCTCCCATCCTTACCTATTGTCTCGGCAGCGGGGGAGGGCCCGGCTTGCCAGGGAGCCAGNGACAGGGCCGAACATGGGAGAAACATCCAGCTGCTTCCACTGCTGGGCCTCAGCCCCCAAGGCCCTCCCATCCTTACCTATTGTCTCGGCAGCGGGGGAGGGCCCGGCTTGCCAGGGAGCCAGCGGGCCAGGGGCTAGCAGAGCAGGCATGGAAAAGCCTGTGATGTGGCAACAAAAGTCATTGAAATCGATGAGGCATCATGGACAGGTTTTCTCAAAGTTGGGGGCGGGGAGAGCACTGGCACAATGCAGGGTGAAATAGCATCTCTATTCCAAAATCTCAGACTTATTGCTGCCAAAGTGAAAGTGAAAGTCACTCAGTCGTGTCCAACTCTTTGTGACCCCATGTTCTATACAGTCCATGGAATTCTCCAGGCCAGAAGACTGGAGTGGGTAGCCTTTCCCTTCTCCAGGGGACCTTCCCAACCCAGGGATCAAACCCAGGTCTCTGGCATTGCAGGCGGATTCTTTACCAGCTTAGCCACAAGGGAAGCCCAAGAATCCTGGAGTGGGTAGCCTATCCCTCCTCCAGGGGATCTTCCCGACCCAGGAATCAAATTGCAGGTGGATTCTTTACCAGCTGAGCTCTCAGGGAACCCGAGGTCAGTGTTCAGTGCGTGTGCAAGATACAGGGTGGGGAGGGAACTGCCTGGAGGTCTCAGTCACCACTTGAGCTGCCCGGAGATGCTCCTGAGAGAAGCCGCCAACGGTCGCAAATAAAGCAAGCACACACCTCAGAATTCCATCCAAGGAAGAAAAGACCCTTGCTGTTTGTCTTCACATACAGATTAGATAGCTAAAGTTTTCACCATAGCAGGTTTGACCTTGAGGACCAGTGAACAGGCAGGACCATGTGTCACTGTTCGTCATATTATCTGCACACAGTGTTTAGGGCCTTTATTTCTAACTTTAGAGAGTGGCGTTTCTCCATCACTGAAGTCAAGAAAAAACCTGTGCCATGGAGGATGGAGGGTTAGGGGGTAACGCTGCTACCCCCGGCACTGGTAGAGGGCTTTCTTCTTCGTCTTGTTTACTCTCCACCATGAGTTCTTCTCAGACGTCATCTGAATATGTTTCTAGATCTCAGTACATTTTTAATATGAACAAAATCTTCCTGCTCTTGATTTGACCTTTGTTGGCTTGATGTGTTTTAAAGATGTGGGCAACAGTTTTATGAAGAATGCGCAGAGACATTTGTGGAAAAGCACATGGTGAGAATGATGATGAGGAAGATGAGGGCGCCTCCTTTCTGCTCGGCCAGCACGAGAGCTCCTCCACCTGCGCTGTCTTAGGGTCGTGTGGATTTTGTCTGCGTCAGGAGCAGCACACTCAAGGCTTTTAAGGAGAGTTTAACCAGATTATTTCTAACACAAATTCTACTCCCACGTCTGTCCAAGTGGACCAGGCCAAGGTACTGACTCATCCATCTGTGAAAACAGAAACTGCAGCCTCTATTTTTCATTTGGCCACACCACAAGGCAGTTCAGGGCCTTAGTTCCCCTACCAGGGATCAAACCCTCAGCAGTGAAAGCGCAGATTCCAAACCACTGGACCACCAGGGAAGTCGCCAAAACCCCAGGCTCTCTGCAGGTGGACTGCCCCCTGGCACCCGTTTCCTGTCTCACCTGGCACAGGTGTGGTGCTGGTCACAGGAGCCCAGCTGTGTGTCTCTGGGTATGTTCTGCTTCCTGTGGACTCCAGCCCATGTATGTTGAGAGGTTGGCAGAGATGCCTTTTGCTGTTTTTCAGTCTCTCAGTTGTCTCCGACTCTTTCAGACCCCGTGGACGGTAGCCCACCAGGCTTCTTTGTCCATGGGTTTTCCCAGGCAAGAATATTGGAGTGGGTTGCCATGCTCTCCTTGAGATGAGATGAAATGATAGGTTTAGTCAAAGGGTGTTGTAGAAGCAACAATGAATCACAGCCACCCTGCTCACTCCCCCTACCTCAACATTCAGAAAATCACCAGTCCCATTCAGAAATGAAATTTTCACTTTTTTTAAGAAAAAGGAGTTAGCATAAGATCCTTGCTAGATTGAGAAAAATATAAGCAAAAATCAAATTAGAACATAGACCAAATGGGAAATTATTCAAGAAGCAGGGAAAAGTTCAGAAAAATTACAGTTCTTTGAAACAAATAGTTGTTCATAATGCCAAAGCATTTAAAGAACACACTGATGTGCCTGTCTGTATGAGAGAGAGAAATTGGACCAGAGCAATTTTTTTTTTTTTTTTTTTGACAGGAGCATTTTTATACCCAGCAAGTTGTCTTTTACACGGACAGGCTGTGGGCAGACACTGCAAACAAACAGGGACAGAGAAAACAGAGCAAAAACATGAGTAATTTTTAAAAGCAGTCAGGCGGGGCTTCCCTGGTGGCTCAGAAGTAAAGAATCCGCCTGCCAACACAGGCAGAGGAGGCACAGGTCCAACCCCTGGTCCGGGAAGATCCCACATCCCACAGCAACCGAGCCCATGGGTCGGAGCTGCTCTGGAGCCCCGGAGCCTCCCCGGCTGAGCCCGTGTGCCTGGGGCCCCTGCTCAGCCACGGGACGCCCACAGCGCATCCAGAGAGCAGCCCGTGCCCGCCACCACTAGAGAATGCTCAGCCACGGGACGCCCACAGCGCGCCCAGAGAGCAGCCCGTGCCTGCCACCACTAGAGAATGCTCAGCCACGGGACGCCCACAGCGCGCCCAGAGAGCAGCCCGCCGCCACTAGAGGATGCCCTCGCGGCCGTGAAGACCCAGCACAGGAAAAGTAAGCACATAAAAGTATTTTGTAAAATAAAACAGAGTAGCAGCTCAAAATTTCAGAGCCAGTGATGAATGATAGAGAAAACAGTCAATATATCATAGCCTGTGGGACCTTGCTAAGGCTGCCCCTAAGGTCTGATTTACAAGTTGTGTGCTTTTCTTGGTGTTTGCCTTTCATTTAAGTCAGCTGATGTTACTATTGGACTTAAGTCCAAGAAGATAAAATGGGAAGAATCAAACATTTCATCAGTGGGGAAGATCATTTTCATCCTTTTTCTTTTCCCTTTGGATATAAATCACAAGATTATAACATACCTCAAAAAATACTTTGCCAAAAATTTTTAAAATTACATTCAAGAACCCTTGCTGTGGGACTTTAGTAGGTAGTAAAATAAACTATTAGAGCACATTTCTTCCTTAATTTAGTCTAGTATAAGAGACTTTTGGAATTAAAGGCTAGTAATTTTAACATGCTCAATAAGTCCATTGACTTGTCTAATTGAACTCAGTCACACTTATTTTCACAGTCTGGGGCCTGTTTCCAGGTGTGTCCAATGAATTGTCTGTGGGGTACACTGAAACTCAGCTTTAATATCCAGTTAAATCCCCACAACACATGCGACAAAGTCTCAACTTCCATAGCATCTCAGATCAAGAGAAAGAAAAAGAGAGCTGGAGAAAGACAGCAGGAAGGACACACTGACTCAGGCCCACAAACACACCTCTTCATCCTGCTCAGACACTCTTCCAGACTCTCCTCCACTTTCGGGGCCTGTTTGTAGCTTGGCGAGCCACCATCTTCTCCTTGACGAGCCCAGTGGCCACCCGTGAGCAGAACAAGACCTGGACACATTCTGGAGGCAGAGGGAAACTCGTGGATCAGACACACTCGTGGTGACGACGGTGCTCTGCTCTGGTCCACGTGTTCGGGGACTTGCGACGTGGCTGTGCAGGTTTCCCTTCACTGGCATCTTCATAATCCCATGATGGTACCAGACACCCAGGCACCGAGCCAGTGTGGGCTGTGGGCTGTCCTCAGCGCAGCAGGACCACCATCCACTCCCCGGACAAGAAGAGGAGCAGGATCAGCATCACGTGTGCACCATGAGCGGGGACACGTGTGTTCCTTGCTTGGTGCTGAAAACTGTGCTAACAGGGATTTTAGGGAAACAAAATGCTGTTACAGGGACTGCCTCTCCCAGACTCCCGAGGACAGACTGAGTTCCTTTTCCGTTTGTGACTGTGTTTCCCCGTATCACATGCCAGTTGTCTGGCTTCTGACCTCATATAACAAACTTACCTTTGTAATGAATGGATATTTTTCTGTGATTCCTTAAATTCAAACCAATCATTTCTGTGGCTAAAAACACTGCTGTTTTTTCACTCTAGATAACTTACATACGACAAGAATATGAAACAAAATTTAAAGGGTTGATGCCGGCATCTCTAAGACAAGAACTTGAAGACACCATCTCCTCCCTAAAGTCACAGGTAATTACTAGAAGTCAGGAATGTCCCGAGGGTTCAGGTGGCATGTATATTTTAATTAATAAACTTATTTCTGAACTGGTGCCAGAAATCAGTGTGGTGTCATGGAATAACCTGGTACCCAGGATGAAGTGTTTTGTGTTTTGGGGAGGTTTTAGAATTTTTCTGACCATTTTAAGAACTCTCTGCTTGATAAGACTTTCTTGAAAGCATCCTTGAAATTGAAAAGTTCAGTTATGGTTACTTTTATTTACAGTCCACATTCCAATACAGACTCACCCTTTTATTCTTGGTACCAGGCCCGAAATGCCATCACTTAGCACGTTGCTAACTCCTATGATGTGAACGTGTGGAGAAGTAAAAAAACATGGCTAAGTTAGAAGTGTTTTTATTCTGATGTATTTTATATGATTATTAGAGATAAGAAGATGCATTTTAAGATCAAAGCAGGGTAATGACATGGTATTCAAACAATTTGGTTAAAGATTTCTGCTGAAACATGTAATTCTTGGTAGTTTATAAAAAATAAAATTGACTTCAGTTTTGATACTAATTCAGTTTTGATACTAAGACTTCCTGGTCTTCCCTGATGGTTCAGCGGTAAAAAATCCACCTGCCGGTGCAGGAGACTCAGGTTCGATCGCCGAGTCGGGAAGATCCCCTGGAGGAGAAAACGGCAACCCACTCCAGCATTCTTGCCTGGAAAATCTCATGGACAGAGGAGCCTGGCGGACGGCAGGCCACGGGGTCACAAAGAGTCGAACATGACTTAATGGCTGAGTGTGAGTGCGCAAAACTTCCTACAGAAGTTTTCTCTAAAACACGGTTTTATAAATTGTTGTATATATTTTATAGATAGTTTTTTAGATTCTAGATGGGTACTTTTTAAAAAAATCAAATGTTTTAACTCAGTGTGAGAAAGAGTTCACATATTCCCATTTCTAAAACACTTAGAAACTTAAAACATACTTTTTATTTTCCTGGAGAAGCTCTGCAAGAGAAAAATTTCTCTGCTTTCTGTGCCAAGAACAGTGTCTGCCACAGAGAAGGCGCCCAATACATGTATGTACAAAGAAAACTGATAGCCCAGTTCAATGAGAGTCACGTTGTCTGTTTACATGTGTGAGGCGGATGCATGGGCCACGCGACCACTGTGCCTTCGCTGTTCCCCCAGTAAAAGCCTCTTACCTGAAAACCAGATCCCGTTACATCCATCCTTGTGCTACGGTTAGCTCCCTTCTGGAGCTAGGGAGTCTAGCCGTGCTCACGCCTACCGACAAAAACAAGCGTGGCAAAAGAGTGTTAACCTAGAAGGCGTTGCGTGCGTGCTGAGTCTCTCAGTCGCGTCTGACTCTGCGACCCCACGGACTGTAGCCAGCCCTCCAGGCTCCTCTGTCCATGGGATTCTCCAGGCAAGAAGACTGGTGTGGGTTGCCCTGCCCTGCTCCAGGGGAACTTCCCCACCCAGGGATCGAACCTGCACCTCCTGCGCCTCCTGCATTGCAGGGGATCCTTTACCCCTGAGCCACTGGGGAAGCCCTTAAGAGAGGGTTACATCATCTTTATTTACATGAAAAGCTCTCCTTCAGGTGTGGTTCTCCCCTAACTGCATAGGAGCCCTTCCTCGGCCGGCTGTGTGGGACCTAGCACCTTCAGAGGGGTTATTGTTTTAGAAAGACAGAAGTCTGACATCCACCTGCAGGGCTTCCGTTATCATTCATATGGTTCACTGGAACAGAAGTGCTTCAGTTCCTAAACCTGGACGCTGACCCAGAAGGCGAGGGCTGTCAGCTACATGCGGGCCCCGCGTGAGCAGCTGCGCGAGCCCCAGCCGGGCAGAGGGAAGGGTCGGTCTGAAAGCACAGGTGCCTGTGCTTGTGAAAATTGTTGGGATTCTGGCTGCAAAGCATGCTGGGGGCAGGGAGGTGGCCGTCCCTGGACCTCATGAACTGTCCCGGGGCACCAGGAAGACTCGAGACCCGGGTGAGGCGTGCGCCCCTTGAGATGAGCCCCGCACGCTGCTCCTGCTGGCAGGCTGCCTGCTTCGCCAGCTGGCCTCTCGTGCATAACTGCGGCTCGGGAGCCACCGTCACCACGATTTCGTTCAGAAGGGGCGAGGGCACACAGCTCTGAAGTGATTGGGTGCCACCGACTCTGACTGCATTGAGAGACAGCATCGGTCATCGGAAAACCACTCCTGAGTGTTGTATAAGGTGCCTTTGAGTTTCCTCCTGGCACACGTGTCTTCAATTGTGCGGCACGGGGCCCAGAGCCGGCGCTCTGCGCTTCGGGACCCCTCGGCCGTGCCCTGCAGGTCTGGGGGCAGCTCGGGTCCCTGCGCCCCTTGCCCCGGCTCCACTGGTGGGCTGTCAGGGCCGGGGCCCCGGGCGGTACCGGCCCAGAGCTCAGGGCTAGGCACCTGTCCCAGCATCAGTGGCTTCATGACATCCCATGGCCTTGGCAAGTGGCTGTCGTTCACCCCGGTGCACAGGTGAGTGTCAGAAGCAAAAAGAACTTTCTAGAGCCGTGGGAGCCACGCCAGGAACTGAGTCCAAGTTGGCCTGATCCAAGCCCAGTGCACAGCAGAGCACCACCTCCGCAGCCCTAGGGGTCCCGGGGGTCTCCTTCCTGCTCACTCCGTCCTTCCGTCAGCAGCTGGGGGTGCCAGCCACGTCTCTGCCCTGGAAAGGAGACGGGGGCACACAGGTGCTCCAGTGCCCCCAACCCCGCACGGAAGGGCTCTCACACAGGCAGCTGGATAATCGCTAACAGAGCAGGAGAGCACGGCGGCGGGGCGGCTGACCCGCTCGCAGGCAGAGGAGGCGAGGTGGGCAGGACCCGAGACCCTGAGCCCGGGAGTGGGCCGTGGGCAGCAGCCCTGTGTCAGGGCCCGCGCTCGGGAGGACGAGGGGCAGAAGGCAGTGCCGGAGGAGGCGGAGACAAGCCGCCAGGATGGGCCGGCCCCCTCATCTCCGAGATGCGGGCTGTGAGCCGGCCACTGCAGCCTGTGGAGGTGAGGTGGGTGGGGGCCGGGGAGGGGGTCAGTCGTGGAGCTTCACGGGGGCCTGCCTCACCCCAGGGTCGGCGACCCTCCCGTGTCGCCAAGGAAACCGCCCGCGCCTCCTCTCACCTGGGGCCTCTTTTTCAGGTTAACTTCCTGCAGAAGCGGGCGTCTGTCCTACAGGACGAGCTGACCGCCTACCAAAGCAGAAGGTACGGCCGCCCACAGGTCTGTTGACCACCTGCATGTCTCACCCGTCTAACCCGGGGGTCTCCTGCCCGAGAGCTAGAGTCTTCATTAAAAGGCACAAATTATCAGTGTCAGAAAGGCTAATTTTTAGGAAAGAGCCTGTATGGGAGGACCCCCCCCCCCCCGCCCCAGCGTCGTCGCTGTGCTTCGTCAGCGCCCCCCGAACGAGGCCCAGTGGCGCCTGCCGGGCCTGGGCTGCGGCGGGGTCAGGTGCTTCGTCAGCGCCCCCCGAACGAGGCCCAGTGGCGCCTGCCGGGCCTGGGCTGCGGCGGGGTCAGGACGGGGTGTGGTCTGCAAGCCTGGCTGCAGGTTACGGAGCAGGTCTCCCTCCTGAGACGGCGGGCTGACGCGGCCCTGGTCACCCACCGCTTCAGGGCCCGCATCCCCTGGGCTCAGCATGGATGCAGGAGCTCCCGGCCCCAGAAATAAACGCTCAGAGAGGTCACCACGCTAGCCAGGACCCCGGAGTCCCCAGGGCCCCCGTCTCAGGGACACAGGAGACCTTCTGGTCAAAGGCTCTTGAGACGTCACTGACCTGGGTCCCGTTTACCTGCCCCAGCTGCCTTCCTCCTGTTCAGTGAAAAGCTGAGCCGTTTGTCTGGCATCGAATTAAAAGTGAAAACTTGGAAGGCCCTGCCATACATGACTCAGGTGAATAGCAGGGACCTATGAACCGCACGGGGGACTCTGTGCAGTGTCTTGTAACAGCCTCTAAGGGAGAAGAATCGGAAAAAAGCACATATATAATATATACACACACACACAAATCAGTGAGCCATACAGCTGAAACACACAGTATTGTAAATCAACTAGACTGCAATCGTTTTTTAAAAAGTGAAAAAACTGTGACTCATTCACTTTTCAAAAGCTTCTCTTCCTTGGTATAGACAAGACTTGATCCCTTCTGGGTGTCGATGATGAAGTTTTGACATCAAGCAGCCCTTCCACCCCGCATCCAGCTCCTCCTGAATTAGAGCATATGTGACTTTGGACAGGCCAGGACGCCAAGAAAGCCGTAACTCTGGGTTCTGCCTTTCAGGTGACCATGTGGAGACCCCCCGGGTCACCCCGGAGAGAGCGGTGGATCCAGCCATCCCAGCCGCGCTGCAGATTTCTTCCAGCAGGTTTGAAGATTCGGATATTGTTAAGTAAACTGTGAGACCAGTGGCATTTTTTGATACTTAAATTTAATTAAGATCATAAAAACATCCATCACTCATACACCAATGGCTGGTTTTGTGTTTTTGCCTATTTTTTTTAACATTCCTTTATTTCCTCTTTCCATATTTGTGTGCATTTGAGTGTGTCTTGAGAATTGCTGATTTGGGGGAAAGAAATGATTTGTCGCAATGCCTCGTGGATGCTTTTGCATAGAATTTTACCATTTGCCGCTGCTCCAAATCACATTTGTAGCATCATATCAATATTTTTAACATGTTTGCATTATCTTCATGTTCATATATTATTAAAATATTATTTTGTACTTATCAGTTTTATTTGTACATTTTTATTGCACCTCATAAAGATGACATGGTATTTTTTTCCCTGGAAAATACTGACCATCTCAAATCGTGGTATGGGGAAGAAATATCTATGTCAGGTCAAAGCTCACATCCACATGTGGCGTGTTTCTTGAGAATAAACTCGCTGAGTCCCTGCCGCGGGTCCAAGTCCCGGTCATGCTGGTCTGCAATCTCCTCTGGCCTCTGGGGGCAGAGCAGGGTATGAATTCCGTGTGGCAGCTGTGGTGTTACTGTTGCCTGCTTGATCTCTGAGTTTATGGCTGTGGTTTAATTATAACCCCAATGGATGGATGCTCCTTACGGAAGCCTCTAAATGTCGAGATGGGTTGGGAGGCTGCTCAATACCCTGGCAAGTGATGGTGGTATGAATTTGTTGGGTCCGCCGTCCTCGCGGAGAGTCTGGCGTTTTAGTGCCCACCCAGAGGCCAGGAAGCAGCACTGTGCTCGCGGGCCAGCCCCACCTTGCCAAGGAGATGCTGGACTGCAGCGGACGGTCACGTTCTCTTGGCTGCACTGGGCTGCGTGCCTCGGGCCCTGTGAGCCGCTTGAAAAATCTGGGCCGTGGGCGGGGCTGGAGTCATCTGGTTTACTGCGAAAGGACAGGGCAGGACGTTTATTTACAGTTTTTCAAATTCTTTTCTCTTTCCCACGCCCATCTTCCTCATCTGCTGCCTGAGGATTAATTACCCGTTTTGTGCTGTGACTGAGACATGGGGGTGATAAGGGAGCAGCAGATTTTACTGCCGCGTCCAAAGCCAGGCCCAGGTCAGCCTGACCGCTGCCTGCTGGCCGCAGGCGGTGAGCAGCCTTGCGCTCTTGCGCTGAACTGTCTCGGCCGGCACCTCACTGCCTGCAGAGGTTCCCCGGCCCCTCCTCCAGGAACACTCTGGAAGCTCGGGTTTTCCTTGCCTGTAAAATAAATGGTAGCACCGGCCTAAAGACTGTTTGGGAAAAAGCGAAATTGTGTCGGGTGCTGTAACGACGACCTGACCAGGGAAGGCGTTGGTACCAGACTGACTCAGTGCTCGGAAGGGAGCCATTGTGACGCCATGATTCATTTTTAGCTCTTGTGTCCGGACCGTGGACAGCAGGTCGACCAGCAGCAGGTTTCATCAGGCAGGCAGGTTATTAGCGTCTTGAAGTGAAAACGCTTTGCCAGTGGTATTATATGCTTGAGCCCAGCTCCCTCTCCGAGTGTTTGTTCTCTGTGAGTAAATATCAGTAGGTGTTTTGGAAAGTTGCCTGCCATTCTTTCTTTTCCTTATTTCAAGGGTTATGAAATTACAAACGCGGGTGAACCTTTGCCATCACCCAGATCCTGCTCCGCTCTGGGAGTCAGCGGACTGAAACCCTGGTTGGTTGGGTTCTGAGTGACGGGCTGGGTGGCCGGCACCAGCGTTCCTGTGAGCGTCCTCTGCTACAGGGAGAGAGGGACTGCGCTTAGCACGTTGCAAATTCCTTGCTGAGGGGGCACTCAGTATTTACGTGGCTACTGGGAGAGGAAGTGAGTGCCCAGGAGATACATTAGGGACAGTGCGTCTCATTGTAAAGCCGTCTGAGATGTCATCCTTTCTTCTATCTGGTGGAAGACCAACTGTTCATCACCAGTACCTGATTCAGCTGCATTTCCGGCAGTTATTGTCGGCTCTGCCCCTGAGCCAGGCACCTGTGCTCCTTACACGTCAACCCACCGTTGTCAACAGGCAGGGCAGGCCACACTGAGCAAAGTCGTGGGGTCATCGTGTCGTTGGTGAGCACGTCTGTCCAACACAGGGTCGGCTGGAGAAGGGTTCATGTGAACGTTGGCCCCGGTCGTCAGCACGTGTCAGGGCTTTGTTAGACCACCCCCCCCCCCCCCCCACCCCGTCTCCGCATCCCCCGCAGTGAGCGCCTTAGGTTTCTGACCCTGGGTTTGGCTGCGGCCCTGCTCAACAATCAGTTCCCCAGATGGCAGCCAGCCAGGGCACCGCAGAGAAAAAAGAGGATGAGAGGGGGGCGGAGGCAGACAGGCTTGCTTCTTAGTCTGCGGGAGGCTGGACTGTGGCCCGCGGGAAAGGGCCAGGGTCACGGAGCAGCACGTGGCAGCCTGACTTGGCGGGAACAGCACACACCCGCGTGGCCTCGTTAAAGGCCTCAGCGGAGACGGGCAGAGGGGACCTGTGAGCTGGAGCCGACAATTAGCAGTCTTCTCACTGAAGCACATTCCCATCTGTGGAAGGCAGGGCTGTCCTAGCTTTCTTTCCAAGAGTAAAAAAGAAAGGTAAAAACATCAAAAATGTTGGGGGGGGGGGTAGTTTCAGAACACAAGGTCATCCTCATCCACAGTTTCCTTAAAAGAACTATCTCCTCTCAGCTTTCATATTTTGTTCAGAAAGGTCATCTCTTTCAAGCCTTGTCATTAAAGGAGGTTTGCTCTTTAAAGTGGGCTGTCAAAGGGTGTAGAAATTGCAAGTCACTGAGACTGAAATGCATGATCAATTTTGAGCCTGCTAACTACCACTCGCTTAGAATTGGCAGCCCCTTTGATAAAGCCAGGAAGAGATACATGGTTGGTCAATTCAAAGTAGGAAAAGCAGATAATTAGATGAAACTTTTGTTCAACTGCTGAAGTGCCTCTTGGATATGGAGGCTTGATTAGGAAGTAGAGGCGTGGGCTGTAATCATATCTGAGAAGTAAAAGTTGAAGATCCCAGATTTTGACCTGTGTTAACATTCTCCACTACGGTTTTAAGAACTGAATCAACCCTCAGATCATATTATTTATCTCTTCATGGAGGAAGAAAAATGCAACTTGAAACATAAGAGTGAAGGAATTTTGAAATCTGGATCCTCACCAATATCTACTGCAGTTGAAGTTCCCTTCTTCTAGACATTTCAGTTTTAAGCAAGGATTTCCACCAGGCAAATGTTTTAAAGCCAAAGGCCCAAGATGTTCCCTTAGATTCTGTTGTTTTCAGAACTGAACTTCGTCTAGACATGAGGCTAACAGATACTCTTATACCCTCTCTGGGAGTCTACCGTTTAAGAGGGTCTTAGGGAGAACAGCTCACTGGAAACAAAGACTCTATCACGGAGCAAGATGAGTTACCTGGTGAGAAGCCTGGTAGATTTATTAGCTAAATGGGCCTCCATGAGTGAAACCACTCTGCCCACACTCCTTCACTCCAGCTAGAAAGAGGAGCTAGTTCCAAGGTGAGGTCTACAGATGAGCCATTTCCTTTAGGCAGCTCCCTTCACCGACTTGGGCCTCACTGCTCTAATCTAGAACATCAAGGGTGTCGACGTTGTGTATGCTCAGTCATGTCTGACTCTTTGTGACCCCGTGGACTGTAGCCTGCCAGGCTCCTCTGCCCATGGGATTCTCCAGGCAAGAACACTGGAGCGGGTTGTCACTTCCTCCTCCAGGGGATCTTCCCGACCCAGGGATGGCACTTGTGTCTCCTGCATTGGCAGGTGGGTTCTTAACCACTGAGCCACCTGGGAAGCCCCACTGTCATGGCACAACTAGACCAGTATTTCCTACTGGGCACCATCCCCATCCTCTACTTCAGGGCCGCTCAAACCAGCATTCTATCAAGCCCGGTCTGTACGACTGGTCTTCAGCTGTCACACTGAGGAAACATCCCAGGCTCTGGCCCCCTCTGCAGAGTTCATGTTTACAACACTGGCTGGTCATTCCTGCATCCATGTAGTAATAGTTACTGACCATCTGCCATGTGCCAGGCCCAGAGGCTGAAACAACTGACTTATCATCTCTTTGGTTGCTGAGAGTCAACCCGGCTCGCCGAGGCCGTGGTCACAGGGGTCTCACGCAGGTGTGGTCAGCTGTAGGCTGAGCCGCAGTCGTGGGAGGCTCCAGCCCTCGATGGGTCACTCTCCTGCAGCTGTGAGGAGCCCTCAAGACAGCCTGCCCCCTCCCCGGGAGACCACCACAGCACCAGAGCTGCGTGCATCCTGGGCCCAGAGAGGGCACAGCCTCACTTCTGCCGGGTTCCATCCCCAGAGCCAGAGGCAGAGGACAGAGACCCCAGAAAAGTCAGAGATTCCATGACTGTCTCCTTGGTGAAGAAACCCCCCCAACTCTTTCACCTGGAATCTCCTAAAATGCTTGGATCCATGGAAGCATTTTTCTGTGGTCCACATATTTTATTGTTTAAAGTTCTGTGAGATGTGGATTAGAAAGTGCAGGCCTAGGTGATGACTTGAAAGTTCCTTCCCGTCCAAGAATCCTGTCAATCTGGGTCGTATTTCTAGCCGCAGATTACGTGAGCGGTCTGGAGACACTGCTTGGGTCAGGAACACTCAGGGAGACCTCATCTCCCTCTGTGACTCTTTGGGACAATGGTCGTGACCAGCGTTGACTGATTCTCCCAGTTCTCCTCTGTTTGGGGCTTGGAATGCATGGCGTATTGTAATTATCTCGGCTAGTGTATCATTATAAGGCCCACCAAAACACAGACCCTGTGCTTACCCTGGTTTTTCCTTCTTTCGTGGAAATACCGGCACATGGAAGGATGTGGACTTGACGAGGCTGCGAAGGAACATTTCCTAAGCCACAGACACTGACAAAGTGCCCAGGGAAGTGGAGCTCAGTCATCTGGATAAACAAACGAATCAGCCTCCTGTCTCTGATCATCCCACCCTCTCGAGCTTCTCTGCATCACTCCTCTCGACCTGAACCTGGGGAGTGAGGGGGGCCATAAATGTGTAAAACCCAGCCCAGCACCCACAGACACGAGGGAGGTCCCGCCCTGTCTGACCCTCCCCATCTCACTGACCGCTGCAGGTCACTGGACGCTTCAGCCAAACTGGTGACCAGCATGTGTTTTGAAAAAAGTCAGAACTGTTGGTCTGAATGGCGTTTAGCTCTGGCCTGGATGCAGGGCCTGTTTAAGGCTGGAAAGAAAAATAGAAACATCATTTCCTTCAGTAGAGGAAGTGTTTTCCTAACAGGCTAGCAAGGG